TTGTACATTCCAGGTATGCAAAGTGCATGGTGCTGCAGTACATGGAAATGTAAAAAAACAGAAAGACGGGTCAGTATGTTTGCTCTAAAGTTGTCAAACAGAACTTGCTGAGCATGATGCATTTCAACTTCAAGGTGACTGAGAAGCGATGTATGAGTTGTTTTTAAAGGACCTGATTCACTGGTGTGGCAGGGATAATGGAAAGTTGCCAGGGGTCAATTATGTGCTTTGATTTTATTTTAGTTTTCCACTTCTAATCCCTGTATTGTAATGTTTTGCAGCGAACCAAGACTAATAGATTTAGATTCAGAAATATCCTGAAGTACAAACAGAAAAGACGGGCACTCATGGACAAACTTCCTGCTTTCTAGGGAAAAGTGGCTAATGTTTGTAGCATTTCTACTCAAATCTTATATGTATTATCAATATATCCCTCGTACTGACCTGTGTGAATGAACATTTAGCAGCTTTAGAGGCAGGTGGAGTTTGAGGTAACCTATAAACCAGCCAAGTATGGCAAAAAGATCTGGTGAGACTGTGATGCCAAAACTCAAAGAAAGTTTAAAAACCACAACTAAATTACAGTAGAACATTTTAAAATCTCTCTCATTGATAAAGGAAACAGCACAGGTATGATAGAAGCACATAGAGCCAATACAGAAGTATTCTGTGTAAAATATAACGGGGTCATAAATGGTCGCTTTAGGTTTAAAGATGGTTTCTTGCATTCATCAGCATCTTCTTTACTGCTCACCCCTCTCGCCTTCTCCAAACATTATGAAGCAGTTTTTTTGTTTTGTTTTGATAACGTTTTTTGGCACCAACCAAAGGGTTTAGACCTTCTACTGAAGGAAAACTCTGATACTGTCAGTGTTCAACTTTAGATCATAATAGCCATGAAACAGCAGGAAAATGCACAGACTTCCGTTGAGTAAAGGTAACACACACCCATTGATTAAACTGTATACAAACCCACTGTGAGCCAGGAAAAACTGTATGAACGAAAGTAAAATCAAATACTTCAGCTCTAAATGAAATAAAAAATCAGAACATTGTTAGTTACAACTTTATTATTGATCTAATTGTGTCTGTTTCTCTCCAGCAGGAACTATTATTATATCACCATCTTAAGAGACCCTGTATCACGCTACTTGAGCGAGTGGCGTCACGTACAGCGCGGCGCCACGTGGAAGGCCTCATTACACGTGTGTGATGGACGTTCACCAACGCTGTCAGAGCTGCCGAGCTGCTATTCAGGAGATGACTGGTCAGGCTGCTCCCTGCAGGAGTTCATGGACTGTCCCTACAACCTGGCCAACAACCGGCAGACCCGCATGCTGGCTGACCTCAGCCTGGTTGGCTGCTACAACGTTTCCACCATGAGCGAGGAGGAGCGCTGGGCCGTGCTTTTGGAAAGCGCCAAACGCAACCTGCGGGGCATGGCCTTCTTTGGACTGACCGAGTACCAGCGTAAGACCCAGTACCTGTTCGAGCGCACCTTCAACTTGGAGTTCATCGCGCCCTTCACGCAGCTAAACGGCACACGCGCCTCCAGCGTGGAGGTACCTCCAGAGACGCAGCGCAGAATCCGCCAGTTGAACCGATGGGACGTAGAGCTATACGAGTACGCCCGCGACCTTTTCCTGCAGCGTTTCCAGGTGGCGAGGCAGCAGGAGCGCAGGCAGGCCAGGGAGAGGCGACAACAGGAGAGGAGGCGGCTCCGTGGTGGGCTCAGAACAAACCAAGGGAGGCAGCTGAAGCCCACAGAAACGCCGCGTCCCACCAACTGCCGCTCTGTTGTAACCGAGGAGCGGCGGAGAGAAAAGCCTGCTGAGGACAGCGTGGCGTCTGAAGTGCCACTCCCAGACTGGTGGGATCTGGATGAGAATAGCACTTTAGAGGACTATTTAGACAACGTGGAACAGTGGTAGCGATGGGTACGAGCAATGGGGTGTCTTAATGCTAAGTGTGCCAACTTCTGCCTTGTCTGTTTTCATATATCCAAGTTATTTTTAGCATATACCTTCCACAGATGTCCTATTGAACAGTCTTAAACGACACATTATTTATATTGATTATATTTCTTTCCCACATGGGGTCACAGAAAGGCAAGCTATATCGGTCTCAGTGATGGTACTTAACCTTCAACACTACATATTGAACCTACCTGAACTCCTAATATAATGTAGCTAAAACAACAAATTGTTGTTTTATTCCTCTTTGTACAAAGGTACACTTTAATATGTTTTTCTATTTAAGAAAACAAACACTGTTTCTTGTGATTAATAATCTATATGTTTGCCAAATCATTGTCTGGTCTGCGGTGTGTACATTTCGAAATGTACCTGTGATCTCAAGTGTCTTTTTAGTAACAGAAAATGAGAATGCATTTTTTTTTAGATACCTCAATGTATAACATTAGCTGCTAAAGTTGTACAATTACTGAATGTGTCTGTTTTGCTTTTTGTTTTTAATATAAAACAAATGCTGTTGCATCTGCTGAATTGCTCTTCTGTTCTTCCCAAATGGAGATGTCTCCTTTTTCCTCGCTGATATCCTTTTGTCTGCGAATGCAACACAAAAGAGTGCACGCTTTTGTGTTGCACGTGCAGACCTTTGAAAAACCAGCAGGGGGCGCTGAAGCAACTTTAATGAAACAGCAACTTCCTGATACTCACGGAGGTAACAGCTTTTTCTTGAATTCGGTTGGGTAGTATTAAGATCATCTTTAAAAGCACCTCGGAAAATTTGATGTGTATAAAATATTAAATAAATGTTTAGCACAGCAAATGGAAAATTATTATTTGGAGTTTACCAGATTGTGAAAAGTTATTGGCTACTCTTTGATTTAATACTAGTAACTTCTAGAAATGTATAAGGTTGTTGACAGGAATCTAAAATCCTGATAAACAGGCGTGTATTACTCCAGTGTACCTTGTTTGAATGCTAGTTTAACTCAAAATTAGCACACTTGCAGATAATTAGGCTAAACAACAAATCATTTTAGGTATTTTTAAGGAATTAACATTTTAACACACTTTTTTAAAAGTGTATTAAAAACATGGTATCACTTCACTATGGCTATGGTAGCCTCTGTACTATACCACAGTCGTTTTTATAAACAGCCCCTCATTTTCAGAGGCTTCTGATAAGTAGTTTCGTGGTCAGGCAAGGCATGTAACTCGATTCAAAGTGTTAAATTTATACTTTAAAGCTTTATATTTTTGAAAAGGAGGCCCAAAGAGCGAGAGGTCACCATCAAAATAAATCTATCAGAGAGACTGCATAAACTTTAGGAGTCACCGAATAAACAATCTGGTGAATTGTTAAAAACAATGAATGCACTGATCAGCGACACCAAAAAGCCTGAAAAGACCACAGAAGAAAACTTAAGTTATTTCTATAGTTAAGAAAAACAACTCTAACATCTAAAAAGTCAAGAACACTCAAGGAGGCATATCATTGTGAAGGTCTACAATCAAGAATGTAAATACAGATTATTTACAGCAAGGTGAAAACTACCAGTAATAATCAAATCCAGGAAGGTCAGATTAGACTTTGCCACAAGAAGAAAAAACATGTAAAAGATCCTTCACACTTCAGAAAAAAAGTATATATATATATATATATATATATGAAGCAATGAAACGACTAAGTTGTATCAGAATGACAGGAAGAGAAAAGTGTGGAAAAGGGGAGATACAGCTTGCGATCTGAAGCATGGCATATCACATGTCAAACACGGTGGAGGGGATATTATGGTATGGGAACGTATGGCTGCTAGTCAAAGCCTGTCAATGATATTTACTGATGATGTGACTGCTGATAGAAGCAGCTTTAAGTTGTGAAGTGTACTTCAGGGCTCAGCCAAATGCTGCAAAAATGATCAGCCAGAGTTTCACAGTGTAAATGGATAATGACCCAAAGCAAAAGCAACCCAAGAGGCAAACAAATGGGATATTCTTCAAAGGCCAAGTCAGTCACCTGATCTCAACCCAACAGAGCAGCTTTTCAGTTATTTAGTACAAAACTGAATGCAGAAAAACAACTGAAGGTGACTGCAGTCAAGGCCTGGCAGAACACAGCATCTGGTGATGTTCATGGGTTCTAGACTTCAGGCAGACTTTGACTGTAAAGGTTTTTCATCCAAATATTAAAAACAAAATCAATATTTAGAATTATAGTAGTTTGTCCACTTAATTTTTAGATGGTATTTGACAGTCATGTCCTTAAGAAATCCAGCAAAGGCTAAAGTACACAAGAACTAGACTGAAAATCAAAGGATAGAAACGCACAAAAGAACAATGTAAATTATGGATAGCTCCACTCAGAGCCTGAACCTCAGCATTATTAAAGCAGTGTAAGATCATTTTGACAGAGAACAGAAGATAAGACAGACAACACCCCAAGAATAAGCCTTCAAAACGCCTGGAGAACTATTCGTAGAGACTACTTAAAGAAATTAGGAGAAAGCTTGCTTAAGAGAGTTCAGAATGTGTTAAAGAATAAAGGTGGTCACACCAGATATTGACTCCTAAACTCCTCAGAATTGGGAAAAATAGTTTTTGGCCGTAAACACAGTATTTCCCATCTTCTAGCAAAATATATTTTTTTAAATTTTATAATTTTGCACAGTAGTGTAGCACAAGCATTAGACACTAAAATTATATTATATTATATTATATTGTATTATATTATATTATATTATATTATATTGGGGGATCGTTCTCGTGTCCAGGTAAGCCTTCCGTTGAACCTGAATGTATATGATGTCACCTACATGCACGTATAGAGCTGGCTTTATCTACCTGCTACATGTTATGGCGGTCCACCTTCATACCTGCCTCCCTTCAGTCGTGACTCTGATTTCCCTTAATGATGCTATCAAGTAAGCGACACACACACGCACACACACACACACACGCTCGTCCAACTCCTCCCTCTCCACATTGCCCTCCCTCAGATTTTTTTTTTTTTTTTTACAAATCTGTTCTCAGTGTTGTGTTCACTTGCATTTGAGCTGCCCTGTAGACAGAGCCCGCTTCTTCTTCTTCTTCCTTTCACTCCGCTGCGGCAACACGCTTTTTTAATTTTCCACTCGCTTCAGATTTATTTTATTTCACCCAGCAAGCGCCCCCCTCCTTTTTTCTCCTTCTCCCTCCAAGGCAATGCTGAGTGCGTTACACCCCGTCTGTGCGGAAAAACAGAAAACAACGATCAAACAAACATTTCAGCCGACGTTACGTTTTTAGGAGGAGACGTCTGAGCCCGGCGGACCACTTGGACAGGTAAGAGAGCGCAGAGCACGCAGAGACTGGCGCAGCCTGACGCATTTGTAATAACTGTGAGTTTCGTATTTAACCCGTGCTGCAGCCATTTAATGTGCCATGTTTGACTGCAGCCTGTTGCGTGGACACTGAAAGCTGCCTCGGTTATTGCTAAACGCGTGCGTAAATCGCCGCGTTTTACACATATGCACTGTAGTAATAACGTTTATAGGTATTTGCACGCTTAAGAGCATGTCTGGTAGAGGAGTGCAATGCGCTGTGTGGAGACAAGCGGTGCAGAGAAAAGCGTTTTGGCTTGTATGGAGAATTATAATTTATTGGACATTTAAAGTCCAATTTTTATTTATTTATTTTTTGTGTTCTCCCCAGAGTGAACTGCACCAAATATTTTAAAAATAATCGGTGTTAAATTACTCCCCGAGTCAGCCTCTCTACAGTAATATCGACTGTAAAGCTAGTAAACCCTGCAGGTTTCTATCTATGCTGTCATGCGGCCAGCCTTGTCCTTGTTTGTCCTGTATGAGGTCAGACACTCAAGCCACCATGCGACGCTGTGTTGTCACTACTTCCCTGCCTAAACTGTATGCAGTGCTTGTGTGTGTGCGTGTGTGTGTGTATGTATTGCCATCATATCAGGCTCATCTAACAGTGCAGCCTGTCAGGACAAGTTCACACTCCCTCCAGGCTGTGGACTCTGTACCAGTCTAGCTAGTTTTTCTTTACTTAATATAAATACAGATAAACTGACACACACACACACACACACACACACACACAAGAGTGCACACAGCTACATTTCCCACATAACCTGTTTTCATTTTCCCCTCTCTCACAGACACACATTAACAGCCCTCCATCTTTTATGGCACAAATAAAACCATTCACCGACGCTGTAGCAGCGATTGCAGAGTCAGGGATGCACACTATTTTTACTGTCTCGGCTGTAAAATAGATAACTTTTATTATCTCGCTGCAAAGATGTGAAACTTCCAATCGAAAGCAGCCACACAAGGAAGTGAACTGAGAGTTTTTCTCTCATTCAAAACTGGTGAAGGGCGTGAAATGGACGAGCTGAGCTGCATGCTTCTGACTAATATGATCGGTGTTGTCCTGAGTGATGAAATAGGTTTGTTGTAAGTTTGCTTGAATGGAAGCTGTGGCGCTTTAATGAGCTGAAGGGATTACTGATACTTAACCTAATTACTCTGCTCCGTCTCTCTCGCTCCTGGCTGCTGGCTTTTGCTCTCATTCTGATTTATGGATCGTTCACTTTTTTTAATCAATCACCTGCTCATTGAGGTTGTCCTGGTGTGCCCTCCTATGAAAAAAAAGCTGTCTGTTTGCTGGGTTGTAACCTGCAGATAAGTGATGTGCTTTCACAGCTTTGGTATTTTGTTTCATAACTACCTGTGCCCTCTAGAAGTAGAAATCACCAGGCTTTGGGGGGATGAGGAAACTCCAGATTAAACAAAAAAAACTCCCACAGGAAACTCAGAGATTCTCGTGTGAAACCAAAACATTTTTTCCAGGGTACAGTTTTAAAAATCCCACACGGTCTTCCCCCGGTTGGTTAAAGGCCATTTTCGTTCAATCTAACATTAATATATGATCCGATGTAGGACGTTCACCCACCCTGCTTTTATTATTCTATTGTTGTTTCTGTCAACATGCAGCATTAACCAGTAACACTCAGCTTTTAACGACTGAAAATAAATACAAAACAGCAGAGAAAGGTCAGTTTTAAGCCACTCAAATTGGACCGCTGGGGAAAACACTAAAATGCTCCATTATGCAAAAGAAACACTGGATTGTTTTTTCTGTATCTTGTACATTTTTATTGGTATTAGGCTACCTGCTAGTGTGTCCGTCGAGGTGACAGCCGGCCCACGGGCTAGACATAATGCAGACGTCAGAGCTCCGGTGAAGGTTACGCTGTCGGTGCACCCTGTTTGATGACGGACGCAGTGCGCTCGTGTCAACAGCAGCCAGCGTCATCAGTCCTCCCCCATCCGTGAGCCACCTACGTGTTGACCCCCACCTGCTGACTCCTTGAGCCCCTCTGCTCGCTGCAGACACCTGGAGGACAGGCAGCGGTTTAATCACTGTTATAACTAGGGCAGTCTGTATTTATTCACCGTGCTGCATCCCTGTAATCACCTGTTTGTGCCACATTGGCTGAGATTATTTATGTAAAAAAAAATGTACACTCGTTTGTACAGCTCGACTTTAACTAAGCAGGAATGCAGATCATCACTTTTCTAATTAGATAGTCATCGTGGCTCGTTTCTGTAGCCCTGGTTGCGCAGGTGACCCCACACACTGACGGCTGTAGTCCTCATTGTAGTGGGCTCATCCTCTCTTTTTTGCATTGATCAATATTTTTTAAGCAAAAGTGCAAAATGATGTCAATGTTCTGGTTCCCACTACAGATGATATAGTATTAGATTTCCCCCTTAAGAGTTATCTTTAAAAAAGCCCTTAATCATCATGTTGTTTGACTCTTTGCGACCTTGCAGTGGTGTCCACTAACTCACCCAGTCTTATTTGCCACTTATGCTGACGGGCCTTAGCAGACTTGCAGAAGCTTAAACGTGCCTGCTGCTTTTGCAGATTCCCAGCAGAGCTGCTTAGAAGACTTTAGTTTCTCTTTTCACAAGTCTAAAAATGTTGAAGTTGTTTTCCTTAATTCACCTGCACGCAGTTTCTTTGCTTGCTAACAAGCAAAATAAGTGAATCCAACATTGCCACAATGGTGAAAAAGCCAATGTTGATTATGAATTGACCTATAAAGAATTGCTTGCCTCCAAATGAACTTTAGTCATAACATGAGTGCAATGATGAAGACAAAAAAGTATCTGGAAATCATTAATTAATCAGATAATCAAGGAAGTGTATTTTAAGAAAGTTCGTTTCATTAGTTAAAATCAGTTTATCTGTCAACCAGAATTAAGGTAGATTACCTCCAGCTCTTGGTGTGTCAGCATGGCCATAAACTACTTTTTATAAGCATGATATTCATGCTTTTGTCTTTAAATTGCAAGTCATTGTATCCCAACATTGCAAATGGGATTATTTGTCAGTGTAATTGTGCATATATACACTTCATTAAGACATTATTATTTTATTATACACATAATAAACCCTTTCCTGGATATATTATGTTTAATCACTGAACAGCACTTTGTTATCTGTGGTGTTTGAGCAGATAATTAACATTAATAAAACTAAAGTATGCAGTATCACACCCACGTTTCCTGATCAGCATTTAGGTTTAAGAACCTTTGAAGCCAAATTCTTTCTCTTTCATTTTTTCTTAGTCGATCCTTTCACTCTGTCTGCTTCTTCATTCCGTGCTCATTGGCTTTTTGTTCGACTTGTGTGTCTTGTGGTCTCCTCCCGTCAGATCTATTGTGGTAGGTCGGGTTTTGCAACATAGCAGCTTAGCAGTAGATGTCAATTCTAGACTGTGTTTAAAAACACATTGAGACTGTTGATATGTCAATGTCTTATTAGCCTGAACTATTTTTAACAGAGATTACAGTTTTTCAGCTGCAGTAGTGTGTTAATGAGTCCTGGTTGACCGGTTGACCATTTTACACCGTTTCAAGTGTTTTCATGGTGTTTTAGAGCTATATATGAAGAGGAAAGGTGTTGGTCTGACAAAGAAACCACTTACAGTGCATGCTCATTCCAGTGATCATGGTGCGTCCTGGATAATCCTCCTCTCCAACTCTAATAATCTGACTATAATACACAAAGTCTTTGTCTGTCTGACTGTGTGTTTGTTTCTTTGTCTGCAAAGTCTTTCTACGCTATCAGGAGTTGGGCAACGAAACTTAGAAAATAGATAAATCTTAGGAGGCTCTTAGCCAAGGGTCGGCAATTGATTTTCCTTAAGGTGGCCACATATGAAACTGGCACTGTTGTAGAGGGCTGCATCAATAAGCTTATAAAGAACTAAAATTAACATTGAGCGGAATTAAATTCAAATTATAGGTGTGGCCCTCCACGACAATCTCAGCTTTGTCATGTGGCCTCTTGGGAAGATGTATTGCCAGCCCCTGTTCTTGGCTATGTCCTATATTATGTCATCATCATGTTGCTTAACAACCTCCTAGCAACAGGCTAAAATGACCTGATTTTTGGCATTTACGCATCTGTAAAACCTCATAGAAACACCCCATTCATTTTATTTCACAGTAACGTTTACTATACAAAAGATAAATTGTGCTTAATACATTATGATGCCATCACATTGCCTAGCAACCACCTTGCAGTGGGATAACGCTTGACCCATTTTTAGCATATACATAACATCTATCAGTCTTATTTATTTATTTATTTTACTTTTTTTTTACATAAAGGACATCAGTTTACCAACAGCAACAAGCCAACGAATGCTGAGGTGTGTTGTTGTGATTGTAATTTACAGTTCAGCTCATAAATTCTGTGTTTTTCAATTCGATTTTATTTATATAGCAACAATAATCACCTCAATCCACTTAATATTAAAAGGTAAAGACCCTACAAAATAGAAAGAGAAAACCCCAACAATCAGATGACCTCCTATGAGTGGTGATAGTTGAAAGGAAAAACTCCCTTTTAACAGGAAGAAACGTCTGGAAGAACCAAGCTCAGGGAGAGGCGGCCCC